ATGATGGTGGAACATCTTTCTACATCTGATGGTGGAACATCTTTCTACTGGGCGGCTGTGGCTCAGGTGGTAGAGCGAGTCGGTCGGTGATCGGAAGGTCGGCGGTTCGATTCCGCCCTGTAACCTGTTTCATGGTCGTTGTGTCCTTGGGCAAGACACTTCACCCACCTTGCCTAGTGTGAATGCGTATGAATGGATTGTTTGAGGTGGTGGTCGGAGGGGCCGTAGGCGCAGAATGGCAGCCACGCCTCTGTCAGTCTGCCCCAGGGCAGCTGTGGCTACAATCGTAGCTACCACCACCAGGATGAATGTGTGTGAATGAATAATTGACAGTGTAAAGCGTCTTTGAGTGTCCAGAAAAGCGCTATATAAATCTGATCAATTATTATTATTATTACTGATGGTGGAACATCTTTCTACTGATGGTGGAACATCTCTCTATTGATGGTGGAACATCTTTCTACATCTGATGATGGAACATCTTTCTACATCTGATGGTGGAACATCTTTCTACATCTGATGATGGAACATCTTTCTACTGATGGTGGAACATCTTTCTACTGATGGTGGAACATCTTTCTACGGCTGATGAGCAGAGCAGAGAGGAAAAGTCTGGAGAAGCTGGAAAAAATTAATTTTTCATATTTTGATTCTAATTTTGTCCAAACTGACATAAACTTGTTTAAAGAAAATGTTAAAAACTGTCTGAAATTTAATGAACTCACATAAAATGGTCTAAAGTGGCGTAAAGTCGTCTGGAAATGTAAAAAAAAGTTGTTGGAGATGCTTTAAAACTCGTCTGGAGAGGCTGAAACATGAAGGTGGTTCAACGAACCGGCGGCTGATACGAACAGTCGCCACGTGTGAAGAACTTCCTCAACGGTCATGAGGAAGTTCTTCACGAGCGGTGAGATGCCAGCATGTTCCTCACCAGTCTGCCCTCGATGCACAGAAGACAAAAACGTTCTGAGAAACTTCAGGCCAACCTCTACGTTTCTGTTGGTTCCCAGAACGTTCTTCTTGAAGGCAGGATAACTGAACTGAAAACCTTGAACCGTTTTTGCTTCAATGTTCTCAAAATCAAATGTTGCACCGAGAACATTCTTCCTTTGCTTTGGTGGGAACGTTTTATCTACTCTGCCATGAGTTCCCTCAGCAACATCCTCAGAACATTACAGGCAGAACCTTTGTTAACATGTCACAGTGCAGGAGCGTCTTCTAAAGAACGTTCTGTCATCTGACGTCTCAATGACATCTTGAAAAGCAAAGATGTTTGGAGAACATCCATCCGTCGCCCGTGTTCCTGACAACGTCCTCTGAACGTTGACATCAAAACGTTACATTAACTTTAGAGGAACGTTACTGGGAATTACTGGTTCTTTGAACATCTGATTAAAACGTTTTCTTTGAACTGAACTTGCAGGCGACGTTCTCCAGCGTTGCAGGAACGTTTCCTGAGCGTTACCTGTCAGCGCGTCGCCGTTGGAAACGTCACACTGGATGAAGGAACAGTTCCCTTCTCCGAACTCGGCGTCCAGCTGCTTCTTGCACTGTTCCCCGCAGGTCTGGTTCAGGTCCACCACGGCCACCTGCAGAACACGAGCCCGTCAGAACGAGGGGGTTCTGGCAGGTTCTGGCCGACGTTCTAACGTTGTCGTTCCTGCTCAGAGCGGATGTTTGGGGCAGATCATGTTAACAGTGGAAAACTGCAGCCTTCAGAAAAAAGGAAACGTTTTTTAAAAGTCTGATTTTATCTCATTAATTACCATCTGTAATAAAAAAATCTAGATTTTTACAAACAGGGATTAAAAAAAGTTTTAAAAAATACATAGATTTTTAAAATGTGGACGTTATTTGTTCTATTTTCTGTTTTTAAACGGCCAGCGTGTGAATTCAGATCTTTCTCGTCGTCTGCCTTCATCTCATCTGTTAAGCTGCAGAATCTGTAGAATAAGTTCAAAATAAATAAAGTGACCGACTTTCATACGCTAATATAATCTGCACATCATCATATTTTAGTTGATTTAACTGAAAACACGGAGTTCTGACGTGAACATTTTGACGGTTTTACCTTCATATACATCGTCGCTCTTTTACGGTTTATTATCGGTTAAATCTGCAGAACAACAGTTTAAATCAGCGGGTCGATGTAGAGTCCAGCTACACACTGGGTTTAAAACGTTCTGTTCTTAGAAACAAATTTAACTGAATTGTCCTTTTGCTGCCTGTTTGTCTTTATTTAAATGTAGACTAACGTTCTTTGTGCGTTTCCTTTCTACCTATCAGAGATCCTCGTTCACCCAGACACAGGTACACACGACACACACTGTTAATAACGACACACAGAAGTTAAATGTTGTTCACTTTGCTGATTTAAACTTCACATTCAAACCCTGACAGAGTGAGTTACTGCTGATCTACAGTTTAATTCATGTTAATGAGGTTGTTATCTGTGCGCTGACAGAACCAGAAACACGTTTATTTCTGGTGTGTTGCCTTGTGTAACAGAACCTCTCCATGCTGCAGACTTTAACCCACACTGAGCTGCTCTCTGCATCGTCACTCTGACTTCTGCTGTTTGCGGTTTGGGCTCAGCGCTGCTCAGCGCTGCTCTGGGCTGTGGAGGAAGTTCTCACCAGCTAAATGTGAAGTGCTCTTTTCCTGGTAGCCCACTTTACACAGAATGACACTTGAACCCAGAACCCGGCCTCCAGAACTGCTTCACCGGCAGGAAACCGGCAGCAGCAGCAACCAGAGCAAAGGTCAGAGACGTCTCCTCCACTGCAGTCGGCTGCTTCTAACTTTCACACTGAAGCAGCGGAAACAAAGGCAGGACCACTGACCTTGGCTGAGCTCCGCAGCAGCTCCTGGACCGCCGCCCTGCCGATGCCCTGCGCCCCTCCGGTCACCAGCGCCACCCTCCCCTCCAGAGACATGGTCCTCCGTCCACAGCTCCGTCTGCAGCTCCGTCTGCAGCGCGTCTCAGCCACTCGCTGTTTTCTCTCCTCAGCTGGGCTGGTTTCCTCCTCCTCCTCCTCCTCCTCCTCCTCCTCCTCGCAGCCTATCAGTCTAAACAAACAGCGAGTCAGCAGCAGGCTGAGTAACCTCTGTACCGCCGTGACTCCAGCTCTGATCACACTGGCTGTACCTGCCCTCCTGCCGCCTCCTCCGGGCCGGGCCGCCTCCTCCGGGCCGGGCCGGGCCGCCCCTCCTGCCTTTGTGAACACCTGAGCTCGGCAGCGCGTCACTGTTTGTACAAGACTCGGCATTATTTCATGACAGGAGGAGAAACAGTCTGACAGCAGCTTCTCTAAACAGCTCCACTCTCTGGGCTCTGGCCTCTAATTGCTGTTACACAACAGCTGCTGCTCAGGTCTGTGCTTGTCCGCCGCACACGGAGCTGCAGGAATGGAACCAACTGCCAAACATGCAAAAAGACCGGTTTGGTCCAAACAGACTCTCGGTGAACTCTCATCCGGAACGGAGACGGTTTCTGTGGGATTCCTGCAAACGGTCCAGAATGCTTTAGTGAAGGTTCCTGGACATAAATCACCTCCCCTCCCTCCACCTCAGAACCCCTCAGTAGGTATGTGGACTGAAGAACCTGCAGCTAGAAGCAGGTCCAGTAAACACGGGCTCAGCCTCCCTGGAAATGATTCAATCTGACTTTATGACAGAAACTTACACAAAACAGACGTCTGTCAACAAAGTCAGTTCATTAGAAATACAAACAAAACGTGAACTCACCTGATTCAACCTAATCAGAAGTCCTACAGTCAGTAAACGCATCATGTGAGGTCAGTGAATGTGTCTCAGTGGTTGTAGTTTAAAGACTGGTTTATGTGGGAGGTCCAGTCCCTGGTGGATCAGAACTCCTGGATAGAACCACACCATGAAGACTGAAGAACCCTCCAGGAACTCTGGGAGAAGGTTGTTGAGAAGCATCAGTCAGGAGATGATACCAGAACATCTCCAAGCTCCTGAACATCTCTGGAGTCCAGTTAGATCCATCCTTAAGACATGGAAGGAACATGGACCATGAGTAGGACTGACTGGAGCAGGACGTCCTCAGAGACTGAGCAAGAAGGAGACTAGTGAGGGAGGCCACCAAGACTCCTACGACTCCTCTGAAGGAGGTACTAGAAGGAGACTAGAGAGGGAGACCACCAAGACTCCTATGACTCCTCTGAAGGAGTTTCCAGCTTCAGAGACTGTTCATACAACAACTGTTGTCTGTTCTTCTCCATCAAAGCTTTATGGAGACAAAGAGAAAGACTCTGTTGGGAAAAGCTCAGATTAAATCTGGACTAGAGTTCAGCAGAAGACATGTGGAGACTCTGGAGTCACCTGGAAGAAGGTTCTCTGGTCTGAGGAGACCAAGATGGAGGTTTCAGTCCATCAGACTGAAGCACGGTGGTGGCAGCATCATGATGTGAAGCAAACAGCCAAAGCTCCACAGAAATGGTTTGAAGACAACCAGGTGAAGTTCTGGAGGCCCAGTCAGAGTCCAGACCTCAGTCCAGCTGAGGATTAGAGTCTGGACCTGAAGAGTTCTGTTCCCTCATGATTCCTGTGGAACCCAACAGAGTCTGAACAGTTAGATCAGAACAATGAGGTGAAGCTGCAGCGTCCAGATGTTCAGACTGATGGAGACCAACAGGACCAGTGATGGAGCTGAAGGTCCATCTGATGAACACTGATTGGAGGAGGAGAATATTTATGAAATCATTTATATTTTTAATTGATTGACATTCATCAAAGGTACCAAAGTAGGTGGCTATTAATGTAATAGTTAAAAACTCTGTCACTGATTATGTTTGTTGAAGCTTTCAGCGATAGCAGGCTAGCTAACAGTAGCTAACAGTAGCTAACAGTAGCTAACATTTGTCATTTCTAAGGTCTGTACCTGACTATGTTGAGCACTGTGAGATGGCACATGTTGTAAACTGCACGATACAAATAAAACTGAATTAGCTAACATTAGCTCCTGTTCGCTAGCATTAGCTCCTGTGAGTGTTCAGTGTTTCCACATCGTACAAAACAAACATCTAATTGGCTCCTGAACGCTCCGTTCAGGTACATGTAAAATTTAGTAAAATCAGAAAAAAGTTTTTCTACATGTTGACAGTAAAGAAATGGAAAAAATATAAATAACATCCGAGTCAGACTTTTTTCTTTTTATATAAATGCTGATTTGTTCCTTCACACAACATTTAACGTATTTAAATGAGCAAATGAATGAAACATTGGGTTTAACAGCATTCGTTTGTGATTATTGTTGATCTGTGCAGCAGTGAGCCGATCGATCCACAGCATCAATACCATCGATCAATACTTATGTGATGGAATCAATACTCAGGGTTTTAGTTTCTTCTCTGCAACTGCAACTGTTACATGGTGGAAGAAGAAGAAGAAGAAGAAGAAGAAGCTCCGTCTGGTGTCAGCTGGAGACTGCAACCTGCCATATCTGCAGGAAACACTTATGATGCCGTGTCAACACCACAAACTTATTTAAACACTTAAACACACCCAAAAGTTATATTAGTATTATCATTATGAACATTATTATATTGTGAAGTTGTGAATGTTCTGTGTACAGCGCTGTGTCCTGCTATGTTTCTGATACTGGTGCATGTTTTCATCTCGTTTCAGTAACAAAACTGTCAAGTGAAAAGTAAACCTGTCATTTAAAACGTTTCTCCAGTCGTGTTGTTTATAAGGTAGGAAATCAGAAGTGTTTTATTGTGATCATCATCCTGAAAACTAATCCAAAGAAAAATCACAAACTCATCATTAACATCATGAGCTTTTTGTTTAATGTTCATTCAGATGTGGACCTTCATGATGCATTCATGTAGTTAATGATGACTATTGTCTCTATATGGCAGCAGAGGAGCGGTTCTGATCAGTGAAGCATGGACACCCTCCTCCTCTCACCTCCAGTCTGCTCAAGCTGCTGCCTCCTTTGCTTTGCTTTGTTTTTCTGACCTGACAATCCTGCTAAATCCTCTGGATGGTTTCACGTATGACACCATCAAGACTGCAGCTTAGCCCGCATGTGTCAGGCAGAGAGGCGCCCAGGTGCGTCATTTACGCAGGCAGCGGCTGCTGCTGCGTAAATGACGCACAGCTCGCCTCGTGTCTGGAGACGGAGGCTTCAGGGTTCTGGTAAAGTCAGACAGGATAAAACCCACCAGACAGGTGAACACGTGAACGAGCAGACTGCGGACAAGAACGCGTCCACAAACAGCCTCACTGATCCAAAAGTTTGCGCAGCGCAGACAGACAGAAGCGTGACGAACCTTCAGCTGGAGCTGCGGATCCGTCGCTGCGAGCTCAGAGGTCCGAGAGACAAAGTGTGGACGCTGCTGAAGGACTGATGAGGAGCAGGTGAGCGGATGTCGCTCTGCCTCACACCTTCCTGTGTGACGCGCACAGGTGGGCTGCGGCGGGCTGTGATTGGCTGGACGGACCCAGAACTCCTGGGAAGGGTTCGACCTTCTGTTCATCATTTTAAAGGAATATAAGCACCAGTAAAGACAAGAATAATATATATGTATATATAAAAAAGATAAAATACCATCAGATAGACCAACATGAGCCTTTCATCAGGTTCATGAAGCATTTAGTCCTGAATGAAAAATAAAACTTTAATAATATTAATGAATATAATAATAATAATAAAAGGGTTTGAACATATTTTATATATTTTACACACATTTTTATTTTATTATTTTATTTTATTTTACTATTTTTATAGATATTTTGCAGCAAATTTCAGAGATGCTGTTGTTATTTTAAAACGTTTTATTATAAAGTTTTCAGACATTATTATTATTATTTTTGACCTTTTATTCTTTTGGGGCATTTTTTATGATATTTTTCAGTCTTTTCTGTTTCAGCAGTTGCTGCTGTTAAAGCTGATTTTGAATTCTTTAAATCCAGTTTTATACTTTTCAAAAATATTTCTTCAACATATTTCTCACAGTTTGTTGAATATCTTGTGAATATTGTAGCCGCCTGTTGGTAATATTGTTTGAATGTGTGTGTATATATATATGTACACATATATATATATACACATATAGATACATATATATATTCATACATATATATGTACATATATATATTATTGATTGATTTATTGCATATTTTAGAAACATTTTTAGACGCTTAATTGACACTTTTCTGATGTTTTTGTCAAAACTTTTGCGATATTTAATATTTATTTTATTAATAGTTTTATTAAAAACGTATGACATTTAAATTCTTATTTTAATTATTCTTTTTTAATTTTATTGTATGTTCTTTACATTTTTTTTGCTTTTCTCACATTTTTTCATACTTTACAGACTTTCATTTAAAAATAAACACATTCATTTACTCATTGAACTATTTTTGAGGCATTTTGACGATTATTTTAAATTAATTCATTTTCACCTCATTTTATTAAAACGTTTGGGACATCATCCTTTTTCACTATTTTGATAATTTCTAAATCCTCCTCAGACATTTCAGTTTGTTCTTCAGCTTCGTGTACCTCAGACCTGTACTGAACCACAGTACTGGAGTAAATGTACTCAGTTACTTGCTGTGGCTGCAGCAGACGGACTGACAGACACAACGGACAGCGACAGCGTGTGGATACGACTTTATTTGGATTCAACAGGTTTTCATCAGAACAACGTAAAATATGAACACGTTATTAAACCAAAGCTCACGTGCGCTCTCCACCGTGAACCGGAAACCGACCCAGAAGAACACGGCAGAACCACTGCTCTGTCGTTGTGCAACACTGACGGAGAACCTACGACGAAACAAAACCTCCAACGTGTGAAGCTGATCCAGGAGACAGTCCGGCCCGGTCGCCGTCCACATAGAACCAATGGAACCTGAAGGTTCCTCCTCAGAACCAGCCGGTTCTTCATCTGCAGCACAGTTCCACAGAGGAGGGTCCAGATTGATCAGACTGAGACACCTGGATGGACGTAGAAC